ATTGCACATGGCATGGCGAATGACATAATCCCTACGATCAAACCCTCCTTCTACTTCTAGTCTGTCTCATTTTGCCCCGAGATGTTTTGATGCATAGTGATTATGACGCTCATCATTCGCTCCCTTGTCACTGAACAGTTCTGTCCGTTTGGTTTTAGCGAATTCAAATAAAGAAAACAACAACATCAGACAGAGAAAGGTAAGAAAGGACAATGACGGACGGCTATCTGTAGGGGTTGCCAAACTAACAGCAGTGCAGGTGAACGTAGTGAGCTTCCCTGCCACTTTTCACCGGCCTAGACTCGGGGAGAGACGATTCTCAAGTTCCTACCAATAACAAAGCCGAAACAAGGAAAACGGTGGGGCACACGTTATACGTTAGAGTCCACCAACTAAACCAGGTTTTGAACAGTCAGACGTGCACAAGGTAGCACCAGACTGACAAGGAGTACATTCCACTGCAAAGAAGTGAGCTTGAGCACCACTTGATAGCGCTAGCCGACGGCCTTCCAAATTGGAAGGTTCATAGATATTAGTGACAATTCCAAAGACGGACTGTTCAAAACCTGGTTTAGTTGGTGGACTCTAACGCATAACTTGTGCTCCACCGTTTTCCTTGGCTGACCATCTGAGTACTGAATAACAAAAACAACAACAAAACTGGTTCGTGAATTTCGGAGTCCTTTTTGATGATGATGGTGATGAATAGCTTGAGATTTGTAGTTTCTCTGTCCCTGCTAACAATAACAAAATAATAACGAAACACAAAGAAACCCAACCTTTGCAAACAGAAGCAAATTAGATTCACACTTCGGCTGTTAGGTAGGTCGTCACAAACTCGTTAGTTAAACCACATGTCCAACTTTTCTTTCCTTTTCCTGCTGTGAATCTTTTGTATAAATGTTATGTTCGTCCCCTCCTTGAATATGCTGTTCCCGTTTGGATGTTTTCCGTTTCAGCCACCATGTCCACAACCCTTGATAAACTACAGGCTACTGCTGCTAGAGCATACTTAAATAGTAAACTCAAGCGTCGGCCTGACTGGACGACTTCCAAAGAAGACCTCAATGTTCTCTCCTCTTGGGAATCTTTAGCATGGCGACGGCAGATTCTTGGCCTTGTCTATTTCCACCATGTATTCTCCCAACACCCCTCCTTGTTGTCTCACTTCCAGCTACCCTCTTCCCAAAGCAGTCGTCACCCTTCATCCATAATTCTTCCTAAAGCTGGCACCTACTTTCGTAAATCAACCCTTTTTTCTTTGAGTGTTGCTTGGAATAAAATTCATGAAGATATTCGTTCACTCTCTACAACAGCGAAATTTAGTATTGCTGTTCGTCGGTATCATTCGCAATCGATGTTTTCTTTGAAAGGTGTTCCTGACTTTTGTGTCTAGGCTAACCACATGTATGATAGTTTCAATAGTTTGTGTATATGTCAGTTATAGTAGTCCGCAATGCTGCTTTTCTAATTCTCATTATGATTAGCATGCAATGTACTACCCGAAGTACTGAATTTACTTCTTTTGTACTCTTATTCTAGTGTATCCTCTACCTCTTCTCCCCTACGAACATACTTTCTCATTTTCCATACTTACTTAGGAGACTCCCTTCGATAGGCATCTACTTGCCTCTGGAGGATCCGTGAAATAAAAAATAAAAAAGGTCAAGACAGCCAATTGAATTGAGGAGAGGGTGAGACCAACCACGGAAGAAGAGAAAAAAGAAAATGAAGAGCACGTACACAAATTGGGAAGGGATTAGCAACTTACAAAGCAATGGGATGCTCAGCGAGCTATGCAGCGGAAGTGGTGACTGTGATTCTGTTTACTGGGAGATACTGAAGTGCTGTCTGACGAGGGTACGGAATTTGGGCATATCTGGAGCTTGTCTAACACTGGGAGGCAGTTGGAGCCACGTGGAGTAGGAGGAAAAGGAAGGGGAATTTACGAATAGGGTGGACCTAGCTAGGGGAGACGAAGCTTCGGGTGGTGCCACTTGTAAGGGACTGTAAATGAGCAGGGTGCTGGTCAAGAAAAATTGAATGTGCCAGGGTGCACTTGGAAGCATCAAGGTAGTGTTGCACTTGCAGAGTGGTAGTGGATGCAGTAGCATACAAGTCTAGATTAGAGATATAACGATCAGTACGAAATATGATGCGCAGTATACGGCGATTAGGCCTTGACGGATTATGCTAGCATAATTTTTCGCATAATTCCTACCAAAATCGAATAATCGCATAATTCGAGGCAAATTGCATACGAATCGCATAAATCCGCCTGTTCGCATCAAATTCCATACAGCTGTACATGTTCTACAAGTACAAGTACAAGTAGATGCACCAGGAAGTCGTAGGTTTTCGACTCCCTTGATAACATGTCCAGTCCACTACAATCAATGACGGTCGTAGCTAGCGCTAGGTCACACGGTGCGTTGACCCCGTTGAGCTTTTGCTACTACAGTACAGCGCCCTCTACAAAAAAATTCCGCAGTTATTTTGCACAGAACCATCATACATTAGCAGCATATGTGAGCATAATGCGGCATAATTATGATAACTTTTAGCATAAAAATAGCATAATTTTGCAATTTTTTCAGCAATGCGAAAAGCATAATTTAATGAAAATATTAGCATAATCCGTCAAGGCCTAACGGCGATGGAGAACTTCTAATTTACCTATGTGGGTTTTGTTAATGGTGGACCAGGCAGGGAAGCCGTACGTGAAGAGGGGAAGAATGTACTTCGAAGTATGATTTATAAAAAAATAAATCCGGCAATTTTGGGGCAAATGGGACAAGTGACTTGACATTATGCCGACAGATCGGCAAACTTTCTACGTGGAGATAAAATTTGAACTCGGATACTGAGTGGAGATAAAAGTTTAATAATACATGTAATAGCTATGAAAAGTATGAATGCCGCAGACATCACCACGCAACATGACAAATTGTTCAAGGTTTGAATCCAGAATCGATATTCAAGCTCTGATCATCAGTGGAAATACGGAACTAAAGTGATCAAGCGAAAAAACAAAGGTTAAAAAATCCAAGTACCTAAGTGTGACAAATGACGCGTAAGTATAACAAAAGTGAGACCTAGATAAAGATGGAATGTAAGTGTGACAAATGGGCATGAAAAGTGCAGAAACAACTCATGAGCAAGGGGTGTAGACTCACGAACATACCCTAAGTGCTACAACATGTTCTTTTTGCTTACTAAGATCAGGCTTATGCGTACGAATACAAACAGCTTCAAGGACTTTCAGCTGCTGTACATAACGGGCACGACACAGTAAAGAGAAGTGGGAATCGTCATACACACGCAGATAATCGAGACGTTATAACAAATGCAGGTACACAGCTGGCTTCTTACGAACCTCACCCTCATCAGCTCCATCACCTTCACCTGACTCCTCAACGTCCGTTTCACCGCCATCACCGCCAGCCGCTCAGAGCGGCTCTGTCCTTTGAGACAATGCTCCGGCTACAAAGCACTGCACTCCTTTCTTACATCTCTTGGAGGTACGTTGTATCGAAAGGTCACTGTATACTTTAGAACTGAGTTTATCAAGGTACTGCGGAAATGACGGAAGTCAAGAACAGTTCCGCCAAGCAGGTTTTGCTGTCAGGAACTTACTGCCTTTGCGTTTTTATGTACATGTTCGTCAACCCCCCAAGCTGCATGAAACAGTACGAAGTCAGGACGAATGTCTCTCTGAAGCTCTAGACAGAATCAATGGTATTTTGAACAGCTGTGTAGCATTGTTACCAGTGTTGAAATACTTGAGGTACTGACTGGAGAGCGGAGCAACATCATGGTCTGTGCGAGGTTTTGATACCAATTGTTTGGCTACTATTCTGATCTCTTTTTTCTAAGATCGACGATTTGCAGTCGTTCCAGTTGATGTCCCAGTCCGTCGTGCAGGATAACTAGCGGAATACGTGAAGGGTAACAGTGCTACAATGTACGCTTCTCAACGTCGCACCACTACGTTGAGTTGTCCAAAACTGAATGCCCCGTCGACCTTGAGCGTAAAACTTGCATGAAGTGGTATTATCTGGGTTGTGTTTCTCTAAAACCTATATCAGCCGCAGTGACACCACAATGCGCTCTACAATGAGATCTGGGCCAAACCATTCCACTTGCACATCACTACCATAGCATAGTGAGACCATTCCGTTGAGATACGCGTAATGCAGCCCCTCCAGACCGCTGTTTCACTTCAACAGAGCTCATCAGCGGAGGTAGTAGATAATAGCTCACGTGTTATTATTACACAGAGAGAAAAGACGGGAGAAAAGAGGTCCCGGTGCCTCGAGGGTCGCCGTGCTCGAGCAAGGCTACGCCAACAACAAGAAAAGACGGACAAAGATCCTGTCGTTTGGAGACTCAACGACTTCGCGACAGGATGTGTAGATAGCATGAGACAGCTGAACAGGCATCCAGTTCGCGGAAGAAGAGACGTGATCTTTAACATACCCGAACGTGCCCGATAATCGTGTTGCAAAGAAATTGCTCCCCCACCCACAATGGAGATCGCGCTTTTCCCGCCGAGTACCTTTAATTATTCAACTGGCTTGAGGGAAAGACACAAACGGGAAAAGTCTGAAGAACAAAATGACTGTCACCACCAGGACTCGAACCAGGGACCCTTGCTTGTAGCCAGCGATGCTCTAACCACTGAGCTATGGTGTAGTCGTCATCCCAGCAGAGATCGTTCAACATTTTCTTCAGACTTCGTAACTCACACTTCCTGTGAATCCACACAGGCGGGTGGGACGCAGCCCTCGCTGTAACACACACACTTCACGTACAAACTAGCACGCGAGTAGCCCCAAGTCATAAAACCAGTGAATGCGACCATATGTTTTGTTTTTGGTAGGAATTTTGAGAATCATCCTTCCGCAAGTCTCCAGTGAGAAATGGTAGGGTGGGCCCACTACACCTCACCTACACTGTTGCTAGTTAAGCGGCCCCAACATATAGCCGTTCTTCATTGTCTCTATCTTCGTGTTTTTTTGTACTCTACCTTATATTCCTTCCTTGGAGGTTTTCTTAGGAATTTTCATGGTGTAAGGTTGTCATGAATGTGACCTAGGAAATGACGGAAGTCACAAGCCCGAGCTGCATGCATAAGAATCTGTCCGCCAACTCGGTTTAGCTGGCCGGAACTTTGCTTTTACTGTCGACGTTGTCACAGCAGTTGAACTGCGTGGCACAGCAAGAATTTCCTGAAGAAGGTCTTCCGAGGCAGTTCAAATGCGTGGAACGCTGCTCAGGATCGTCACCGGTTTCGGAATATGGGAGCTATGGGACTGCAACACACCAATGATCTGCATGGTCTACCGAGTCTGCTTGAGATTTGCACACCATTCAAATAGTTTGGTTATGACCTCTGTTTTCGTCGAAGATTTCAAGTCCATCGAGCCGACGTCCAGGAATGTGGTTCAGGACATTGAACGGACAAAGAGCAGAGTAACACATCTCTTTCTTTCTGGTTCGAGCCCAGTTTTCGGCGAAACAATCCGACTACATGTAGCGCTGGACGCACGATTGACCGCGCTGATAGGCGTTGAAGATGTCACGAGGTCAGCGCCAAATCTTCCTGCTCCTGCCTTTGATTGCGATATGTGTGGCTTCCTGGTTGCAGGGGTCCTCTGCACGAACGTGCACCGTGCAAAAAAGGTACAGTTCTACTAAGATGTGTGACGAGCACTTATTTGTTGAGACAATAAGACTGCAATATTATTTGCTTTTAGTCTTAGACGCCACTATTGGACTTGCAGACGTCCTTAGTGGCGTCTAGGCCTAAAACCAAATAATATTGCTCCAAAATATCACAATACTGCTTTTCATAACTGCTGTGGTAATAATAATTAACATCTTTAATAGCAATGAAAAATATCAATTGTGCACTCATAACCATGTATTAACAATTAAAATGAAACAATTCCAGAACGTTTTCGTGTGACCATCATCAGTGGAACATCGTCACATAGTAAGAATCACTAAAACAACCAGTTATATAGCTAGAGTAATATGAAAAGAAGCGTGAGAATGCAGCACAGCTAGCGGTTATGCATAACGCGTGTAGTGTGAACCTTTGCAGTGTATCTGAGAATGGTAGCAGTAGATGAATGTGGCACTCACCAGTTTTTGTTCACACGCACTCACAGCTGCCACATTCATCTACTGCTACCATTCTCAGATACACTGCAAAGGTTCACACTACACGCGTTATGCATAACCGCTAGCTGTGCTGCATTCTCACGCTTCTTTTCATATTACTCTAGCTATATAACTGGTTGTTTTAGTGATTCTTACTATGTGACGATGTTCCACTGATGATGGTCACACGAAAACGTTCTGGAATTGTTTCATTTTAATTGTTTATACATGGTTATGAGTGCACAATTGATATTTTTCATTGCTATTTTACGACTGTTGTCTCCTCGTCGGTTATTTAAACATCTTTAATACCAACAAAATTCCTCTCTTTAAAACGTAGTGCGTGGATTTGCATCCATCTGCCACCATTTTACTGGATTATTCTCAAAACGGAGTCGACAATGCCTTTTATTCTGTGTCTGCATCCTCTGCTAAATCTGAGCAATGCTGTCATGTGCCCCTTAGCAGGTACGTCTTGCTATTGTATTTCTATTTCTGTTGTCGTTACTCTTTTATTTCCATGCCGCACCGAATGCTCGGTGCTCATTTCCCAAGTCCATTTAGCACGTGCGAATTTGTGGGTGGTTTATCACCGCTGACATTGACGCGTAAGTCCATAATAATAATAATAATAATAATAATAATAATAATAATAATGCACTTGTCATAAGTATCCGAACGTTTTCGGTCCCTTCTCATCAAGGATTATACAGGGAATGGCTCAAGCTGGAAAGACTAAAACTTATATAGCGTAAAGATAATTAGATAACAACACTCGTGACAAGGTGGAAAATTATCAAGTTTAGCACGACACAAAACTCGAAGGAAAATAATAATAGTGACAACAACATAGTGAGCAAATTAAGTTACATTGTTACCACCTCGACGAGGAGTAACACCAAACAATTGTAGCGACAACACATTTTCTTTCTGTACGCAAAGTTCAGGATCTAACTTACGGATATACAAAGCTTCTAACACAGCCAAATGTAACGCACATGACGGGATGACGGGACATTGGAGGAGACAACACCCAATGGAGCTAAGAATCGCACTTCGTCAATCAAATAACATCTGTCAGCCCGTACCAATTGTCGTGAGTTGTACAGTGATAATGTTTTCTCAATATTGTCACGTGGTAGATGTGCGTTACATTTGGCTGTGTTAGAAGCTTTGTATATCCGTAAGTTAGATCCTGAACTTTCCGTACAGAAAGAAAATGTGTTGTCGCTACAATTGTTTGGTGTTACTCCTCGTCGAGGTGGTAACAATGTAACTTAATTTGCTCACTATGTTGTTGTCACTATTATTATTTTCCTTCGAGTTTTGTGTCGTGCTAAACTTGATAATTTTCCACCTTGTCACGAGTGTTGTTATCTAATTATCTTTACGCTATAATTATAAGTTTTAGTCTTTCCAGCTTGAGCCATTCCCTGTATAATCCTTGATGAGAAGGGACCGAAAACGTTCGGATACTTATGACAAGTGCCTTATTATGACTGGATGTGTGTTTGCGTGGATATTTGCGACCCATAACTAACCTTCGTTTTAAAGTATTATCCGCCTCCGACCTCTTTTAAAAATAATAATAATAATAATACGAAGTAGTGGTTGCGACTTCGGCGATGACTTGTAAGAAAGGGCGAGCTCCGGTGTGGGGAGCAAACCCTTTCTTACAAATAATAATAATAATAATAAATAAAAAGGCGACGTGGAGACAATAATCTTAATAATGCAATGAATATAACTAAATGCGCACTCATATCACAACCATGGGGACGAATCATGTATTCCAGAACGTTTTCTTGTCACAATTATCAATGGAATTCGTGACTAAAGAGAATGATGAAACTACAATAGGATTTATACACTTGCAGTGGAACAGCGAGGATACAAGCATAGTAAGAAAAATAGCACAAACCTAGGAACAATTTGCACAGGTAATAAACTATAGGTGAGGTGAGAAATGATAGGAAATTCAGCAAGTGCAGAGGACGGTGACGATGATGACGATGATGGTGCAGATGGTGTGAAGGACGGTGGCGGTCAGAAACCAAGTGAAGGCGGAGGCGGTGAGAAGAAGAAGAATACTTCGGCAATTAAATTGCATTTGTTGTCTAACCCCGTGTGTCGTGAAAGTTATGATGATTCTTGGTTCAGTGTTGTTCGTTCTGCAAGTAGTTTCAAGCAGTTAAAAGTTCTAGAAGCAGTCTACATTCGCATTCGTGATCCAAATCTTTGTAAACAAAAAGAAAATGTCACCGCACTTACGCTATTCCAGTAAATTCGCACTCACACACACTTACACATGCATGTCCATTGTCACACTGCACTTGCTGAATTTCCTATCATTTCTCACCTCACCTATAGTTTATTACCTGTGCAAATTGTTCCTAGGTTTGTGCTATTTTTCTTACTATGCTTGTATCCTCGCTGTTCCACTGCAAGTGTATAAATCCTATTGTAGTTTCATCATTCTCTTTAGTCACGAATTCCATTGATAATTGTGACAAGAAAACGTTCTGGAATACATGATTCGTCCCCATGGTTGTGATATGAGTGCGCATTTAGTTATATTCATTGCATAATAATAAATAATAATAATATATAAGACTGCACGCCCAGTCGACCTTGCGGGCACAAACATTACACTTAATTGTACTTCAAAGAAGTAAAATCTTTGGTCTGTGTGCTCTATCTGTATGCCATATTTCTCTTTTCTTCATGTGTTCGGTGCCCAGGCTCTCAGTTCAGTCGTGCAAGCCAGTAACGCAAGCATTCTCAGAGAGGTTCTATGTAGACTGTGGTGTTTTTGGCTGGCACAGCTGCACACGATATCGGTAAGAGAGAGATAGATAGATTGATAGATAGATAGAGAGATAGAGAGATAGATAGATAGATAGATAGATAGAGAGAGAGAGAGAGAGAGAGAGAGAGAGAGAGAGAGAGAGAGAGAGAGAGAGAGAAGGGTGACTGATTCTGTGACTTATTGTACTATTGCATGGCTCTTTTCTCAGAATCCTCCGGATCTGCCGCCATTTCAAAGTGCTTCGTCATGGACTGCTGCACTGGCTTTGTGTGCAAGCGACCCTCCAGCAACACCATCACTGATTCCTGATGAGCGTTGCACGAACACTTTTTGGAATCTCTCTTCATTGGTATTTTCACGATTGTGTTTGTGTGTTTGTGTGTGTGTGTTTGTGTGTGTGTGTGTGTGTGTGTGTGTGTGTGTGTGTGTGCGCGTGCATGTGTATTGTTCTCGGGAAATTAGATGTCCAGCTGTACTTATTAAAATGCCTATGTGATATTCCCTCTGCCTTGCAGGGTAAAGTATCGCACGGTAACGCTATGCACATACGTGTGGCAAAACTATACCGAATACCAGTGCTGTCCTGGCTATCAAGGCAGCCCCTGTACACCTGGTAAGTCTAGCATCAGTGGAATAGGAGTGGGCAAGCAACAGCGGCAAGTACAGGATGTATAATGGCGGGCATTACGTCATGATTGGAGACGTTTTTGTAAGTAATGGCCGAACCGTGGCACCACAAATCAGAAGCCCTATGAGCATGGGATAACCTTTCAATAGAAACACGCCCTGGCCTTCGGTGATGGAGCCTACGTAACCTTCCTAGCCTGGTCATCCGCGGAATGGTCGGAGCACCTTGCCTTCTGTACAAGCTATACAATCATGTACTTTGCAACTGTCATCAGTCTGTAACATGCCGTGTTAGTGGTCGCACCTTTCACTTGTAAGGAGGAATTGCTGTAGTGACTTTCGGATCTGAAGGAAATGTGGCAGTAGATAGGATGTTACTGAGTATAAAGCATTAACTGCGTGACTCAAGCTCTTACTGAATCTCTTACCTATTTATCTACTGAAGTACTCAATCTCTTATTAAGATTATGAGATTGACTCACACAATACTTCTGCTAGACATTTTTTATTTATTTATTTCTGCACCTCGTAGCATGTCAAGACAGCCAATTGAATTGAGGAGAGGGTGAGACCAACCACGGAAGAAGAGAAAAAAGGAAAAGCACGTACACAAAAGGGGTAGGGATTAGCAAGTTACAAAGCAATGGGATGCCCAGCGAGCTATGCAGCGGAAGTGGTGACTGTGATTTTGTTTACTGAAAGATACTGAAGTGCTGTCTGACGAGTGTACGGAATTTGGGCATATCTGGATCTTGTCTAACACTGGGAGGCAGTTGGAGCCACGTAGAGTAGGAGGAAAAGAAAGGGGAATTTGCGAATAGGGTAGACCTAGCTAGGGGGAGACGAACGCGGCTTCGGGTGGTACCACCCGACCTAAACCATTTAAGTGACTGCAAATGAGCAGGGTGCAGTATCGTGATAGGTATGATGTTATCACTGAGGTTGGCTTTACCCTTGTTGAGATACTATATGTCAAAGTGCAGTCACCCTAGGCTGAAGTGGGGACATGGAATGTCCGTGGCGAGTGCTGATTACTGCTATATTTGTGTGTATGTGTCCATCTGTCCGTCCGTCTCAACCTCAAGTATGTATCCAAACCTGTCACAACAGAGGAAGGTGCTCATCACCAAACACCTGCACCTGTGCCGCTGGCTGGACAGGAACTACATGCCAGACACGTAAGATTCCACCGTTGTGAAAAGGAGGCATTGTGTCTGGCTGAACATCCTATGCGACGGCTTCATCTACACGGAATACAGACCATCCCATTTCGTCAGCATTGGCTTGGAAGATATAATTATGCTGCATGACGGTGTTGATTCAATGACTATCCAGTGGACCATATTATTATCCACACGAACTGGCAAAATCCCAAGCGAAGGCTAGGCTAACGCCGATGCCAACGCGAAAGGGCTGATGATAATGATGATGACTGGCGACATGCATACTAGTCCCTACCTGCACCTCGCACCCCCTTTGTGTGAAATGTTTGATAGGCATTGTCAGTGCTAATATCACTGCGCTCCTATCTATTGCAGTACATTATACAGAATGGTTCTCATTGCCTTTATAGTCCATCGGCCAAGTCTTAAAATCGAAAGTGGTGATGCATTGAGCTTCCAAGTAAAAGCGACCATACCCACGTAGAAAATATATCAGAGAACACTATTCCGTTTGTTGGACGTGCCGAATTCAGTCCAGGGCGTCGATACTAAGCGTTCTTCGTCTCCGAGGTTTTTACTGTGCGCTCCATTTGAGAGTGCGCAGAGGTCTGATCGAGAGTTTTTTGAGCAGATTTTCAAATTTTTTGAGGCTGTCAGCTGCCAACTGTCAACGCTAAATGGCACTTAGTATGTGACCGGCAATAGGACTGGTTTTGGTGCCTCCGTATGCCTTCTATCTTCCTTCGTTTCACTTCGCTGCTTGGCCCACCACCTCAGGAGATGACGGCGTACCTGCACTAGTCAGCTCTCGCTAACCCTGTCTCCCTTTCTCCGTCTTAGCGCTCGTCATTCGTGTCCTTATGCTGGGGCGAGCTTGATACTGTTGTGTCGTAGATTTTAGGCAATAGTGGCTGTTGTTCGCGTGACGATCAGGATTTATGGAGAAAGGCGACGACTCGCCAAGTTCCCGTACGGCCACAGACGGCATAGCAATTCTTACCGCCAACCCTTTGAGCAACGGAACCGGCCTGAGTTGGAAATCCTGTCTGTGTAATTGTGCCACGATACGGATGATACACACAGGCTCACATGTGACGAGATGAAGATAATCTCAACAGGCTGACGGAAATCCAACAGGCTCACGGGAACGCTGCAGTTGTGGTCGGAGACGCGGAGTTAGTTAGTCACTGGTAAATGTTGCATCGAGTGCTGTGTGCTCTAACACAATTGTAAACATTATGAAAAAGGGGCTGAGTGGTGTTCTGTGGATGAGACGTCGCTGTCTCAGTATTCAAAGCCGGACCCTGTATTTCAAGTCTGTGGTCATGCTCAATCATAAGTTCCTGTATGGCTCCAGTGCCTTCTCAGCATTGTTGGCGGGTTAACACCTGGATCGCGTCCAAGTACTGCGGCTCTGGTGGCTTGAGGGATGTATGGGTGCTCGCCGTGCGCCCCTGCCGGCAATCTGCTAGTGAAGCTTGGTACCTACTGTGTCCGGGAGATTTTCATCCAGAAGCTGATCTTCCTAGGCTGGAGCTGCTGCTACTCCTGTGCTAGGCCTCAACCACTGGCACTCCTACTCGGCTCCAGTGTGGGCCATTAACCACCCTGCCCGATTTCGCACTGTTGCTATTCCACACTGTCAGCATTTAACTCTGAGGTCAGACCTTGATCCCTCCCACCATATGCTATCTGTCTGTCTGCCTCTCTCTCTCACGCACAAATGTGCACGCATACACACAAACACATAGCCAACTTCTCTGTGTTTACTGATCATCATCTGTTTTCTGATGTGCAAGCTCACCTCTGATGCCGATTACTTCCTTGCTTAGACCCGGTCTGCTTTATTATTCTGTATTTCCACGATGGCCTATGGCCAATAAGGAAGATAATATGATTCAAATCAGTCCAGAATCATATAAAATCAGTCTAGCAAGTAAGGAAACCAACACTTTGCAGGAGGCATGGGGTTACGATGGGGTACAGTGTGAGCTACTACAGGAGCATATGGATGATAGAATGAGGCTAGACGCCATTGATTTGAACACATGCTTGCTATTTGTTTCACGCAGGTCGGGGGGTAGTTGGTTGAAATTGTGAAGGGACAGGTTGATGGGTGAGTTGGTGTGTCGGTATGTGTGTGATGTTCTCAATGTGTATGTTCTCACGTGTTGTAGTGCATATGGCCGCTCTGTGATAGGTCGTGCAAGGGGAGGCTGTTGCAGGTGAAGGGGAGCGCGGATGTACTTGATATTGTGGGCAAGAGTAACCTGTCGTAAGAGTTGCCGGGAGACTAATGTGGGGAGTTGGAGATGATGAAGAAGTGAGCTGTGATGGACTGGTGCAAAAAGGGGGATCCGCAAGCAGATACGGGCTGCTCGTCGCTGAACGCGTTCTAATTGGTCCTTCTGTGTGCGGGTGCTGTTGGATAACACGAGACTGTCGTACTCTGCTATTAGACTAGTCTGCTCTCCCTTCACTAGTTTCTAAATCCTACTTAGAGCAGTGAGGCTGTGTCACTGCTCCTACTGATGTCATTGTTGTGAAAGCAATATCATCGCCATTGGTGGTAATTTTCCACCATGCATGAATCATTAACAATCCTCATCAAGAACATTCGCCGCGCGAAAAAAAGTCGATGAGAAAGATGACTTTGTAATGGTGGACGAAATTACGAAAATCGGAAGAAGGTATTCGACCCAGTTCGACTATCCTGGACTGGATTGCCAACGTCCAACAATCGGATTCGTATTTTATGGGGCTCTCATGAGCTAGTGTGCAAAGGGGCGTTTACTTGGAGCTTCAGTGCATCACCTTCTCCGAAAGAGGCCTTTTCTGAGATTTTGCCGATGGACTATTACTCCCATGTATCCACGTATGGTACTGGGTAGAAAAGTGTTTGGAAAATGACGACAAGGAGCATTTGTCCGGAAGTTGCTGTATCCCTGGGTAGTATGTAGTTGAAAGTAAGAATGCAGTTAGACAATCTGATCCTGTTCCCATTCCTGTTTGCAGTGTGTCCGACAAGAACGTTCGGTGTTGGCTGCAAACCGTGCCCCTGTCTCAATGGTGGCTCATGCAATAGATTCTCTCTCTCGCCGGTAAGTCATGCACCATCCTGCCTCACGATTAACAATAAATACATGAAGGAAAAAAAAGGACAGAGACCGTAAAGTAGGAATTCACTTGCCAAAAAGCCACTTCAAAAAGCTGTGCGGTGAGACCTGGCTGAACAATGGCGGCAAAATTATTCAGCCTGGCAAGCTGCTGAATGGTGCAACCCCAGTTCAGTTCACGTTGCCATGGCTTCTGCTGTGGCATTGTTATCATAAACTCCAACGATTGGTGTCAAAGATCAAAAGGTTTTGTACCTTATTTCATTGCTTGTGCAGACATGCACATGTACTCCAGGATGGAGGGGCAGTACATGCGGCTGGCGCTGTGACGCTGCACACTACGGACAGAACTGTGCCTCGCCGTGCCAGTGTCGTAACGGTGCCACCTGCAATCATATCAACGGACAATGCACGTGTCGGCCAGGATGGATGGGAACAAGGTTGGTGCGGGGTAGCCCTTTCCCAAAGATGCTCGCCACTTTTTTCGCAACTTTTCGTTGTTTGGGAAGAAATCGCACTTTCGCAACTTTCGCAACTTTCTTCATTTTTGCGAACTACATGTATAATCATGTATTTAGTAGTAGTAGTATAATTAAATTCTACTATTTTGCTAGGGAACTCCCAACAGGCGTTGCCTTTTTACTGGGAACCCTATTTCGCAACTATTCCGCAACCTTGGCCCCATGGCATGGGGAAACAGTTGATCAACGGTAGTTACGATAATGTTCATTTCCTTTTCCGTGCACTGGAAGGATGTAGGCTACATGCAAAAGGCTACTGGAATTGTGTAAAGTGGTGGTTCACAGCAGGAAGTGGTGTACGAGTTTGCTGTCGCTGCACTTCTGCACTTTCTGCTCTTTTTGATGGTTTTTGCACAAGAACTCTCCAATTTTAAGTTGCGATATTAGCAATTGTTCAGCTTTTTCTGAAAATATGGATGCGATTTCAGCAACTTGCACTTGTTTTGGCACGGTTGCGAAAAGCATAAGTTGCGAAAATTATGGCATCTTTGGGAAAGGGCTAGTTCGGGGTCAATGACAATGGCCATTGCTGAATGGTATGGTGATGTGACATACAGGGAGTTGTGAAACACTTACTTGTACATGTACATGTAGGTGTAGATGTGTTGTGAATGGCAGGCCATCTGATTCGTATGCTTCAGCCAAGGATACAATGTATCATAATGTACATTGTCATGGTATCAAAATGTAATGGAATCCCACTATTTCATGTCGTTCTTCCCATACAGATGTGACACACCGTGTGCTAGTGGACATTACGGTCAGAACTGCGCTTTGCCCTGCGCCTGTCAGAACAGTGCGACCTGTAGTCCAGTGGATGGGCACTGCACCTGTGCGCCCGGGTATAAGGTGAGAGAGAAGGGGGAGGGGAGAAAGAGGGAGAGACAGGTGTACTGACAGATAATTGTCTGGACGAATGAATAGGCAATTAGAAGTGGAAAGGGGAAGACACCCAGTCAAAGAACAAAGTTTGTGCTATTTTCCTTACTTTTCTCCTATCGTCGTTTTTTGCTTCAACCTTTTTCACTCCAAGTGTATAAATCCTTTTGTAGTTTCATCATTCCCTTTAGTCTTAAATCCCCGGGACAAGAAAGTCTTAGAAAACGTTCTGGAATCCTTAACAATTGTTGCTATGATTGTGATATGAGTGCACACATGGTTTTATTCATTGCTTTACAAAGTTACAATGTACATGCACAATGTAAGTGCTCGACAAAATCAATCCCCAAAAGGGTGACGATTTTAATCCTAGTTTGAGATATTCTTGGCATGCATTAATCCTGGACCCCTGATGAGTGATCTTTAACAACGCAGTAATAAGTATTGCTGCTTCTTGCTAATGCCAAGTAATGGCAACGTCAAGTGCCACATGAATGCATATGGATGGATACAAGAGAGATTGGAGGCTTTGTCACAACTCTGAGTTTCCGACGTATTACTACTACGATCATCAGGCAAGGATGGATATCAAAATTGTCGCGCTGACCTTCTCTTTACTGCTGCTATATCCTGTGGTATGAAGATACCTTCAAAAAAGGGGTCCATCGGGTGTTTGGAGGAATTGATTGTTCTGACCTCATTCACATTCGGGCAGAGTCAGACATAATTGCAGCAAATTCCACTCGCCCATTTCACGAGGAAAAGACCAAATAATTCTCAAGCATGCGCATAACGTTAATGTGAAAAACAATCCCGAGAAAGGACTACATGGAGTCGACTCGGATGTTGAGCCAGTGTAATCATAGATAAAAGGAACTGACTGGTTGACTGCATAATGATCTGGTTACAGTGGTTGACAGTCAGTCGTAACTCGTAACATGTACGTCTTTTCGTTTATCCAAAATTATGGAGTCATGATATTACCACTAGTACATGCGTATGACATAAGGCAAGACAATGACATTGCTGAACTACATGATTGTATAGCTACGCACATTTGTTGATTTCAAATGCTGCAGGGGTCGCTGTGCAATGAGACGTGTTTGCCAGGTACACACGGTGCAGGCTGTGCATTTCAGTGCCTCTGTCAGCACAATGCTACCTGTGATTTTGTCAACGGTAACTGCTTATGTGCACCGGGGTATATTGGAAAACTGTAAGTAAGATCATTGGTCAATCTGCCATGCCTTCAAACTTGCACAACATAATCACCTCTGTGAGGTGTGACAGCATTAATCGATATAAGTCCTCCTATAAACCACTGGATGCATCGATGATGTTACTGTTATGATGTTGGATGTGATTATGGCCAAAAATATCATCAGAGCTGCTTTTCCTTTGGTCCCGAGATCTCCCTCCAAGCGAGGGGGGGGGGGGGGGGGTAGCCAGGCGGGAGGTCGGTAGCTCTTCAAGCGGGTGATGTTTTTCATCTTCATGTCCTTCATCCGCAAACACAAACGTCGTGATGGATTTTTGAGAGATGGGTTTGCGCACAAACTGCTGTGAAATTAGTCACAATCACGTTCTCGGCCTTGCCGTGCATGCCAGCGCCATGAAAGAGACACGGTGCAAAGAAAGCGACCATTCACAACAAGCCGAGCGGAATAGGATGGTTATGCTGTGGCAGCATAGGTGGTGACAGCCATGACGAGTGGAACTGAAATTCCACTTCTCCCGGCGAGGACATAATACGCTGCTTGGCTTCTGTAGCCATCAGTTTACTTGAACGATAGCGGCATCACCAAAGTTCAGCGGAGTGTAATCAAAGAAGCGGGGAAAGGCTGAAAGAGGTGAACAAACGACTCGAGCGACCTGACGAGATTGACGACTCGAGCGCAGATTTTTTCCTGCTCTTTTTTTCCCTGAACTGGGCCATGGGGTACGTCCCGGATGTGTGTATCAGGTGTATGCATGCTTGACGAAGGTGAGGGAAAACTGGCTGCAAGTCGGGAGGTTTTGATAATGGGCGGGAGAATCCGAGATGTTTCAAAAACAAACCAAAAATGGGGAGATCTTGGTTGATCGGGAGATTTGGCACCTCTGAAACATTCAAGTTTTCAACTCAAGAATTCATCTTTTTGGTAATGTAGTTTTAAAAGTCTTTGAAGGTCCAAATGCATTTTTTCTCCAGATGCAAACATAATAATAATTATAATATTATCGTATTGGTGTCCCTCACGCGGACGTGCGACTAGTTGTTGGAGGTGACAGCGTTGTGAATAGCTATACTGGCTCTCAACGTCTCTTTAGCACAACTCCATGAGCGACTCTGACTCACGCTGCTCCCTGGGACTTCACGAGGTTTTTGTCGCGCTGGAAACAAAGTGTCTCTGTGAGTTTGTATCCCTGGTGATGGTTTGGTCTGGAGAGCAGTATAATAATTATTATTTAGTTAATATTATATTATAAGTGGTTCTTTTCAGGCACGATCTTCCTCAGCCTACTCAAGCTCAACTCATGAGGGGTGAATTCCCGGCCCGAAATACTGTGTATTGAGCAGGGAGCGGTGCTTTCTTTCAGGTTTGCCGAGCGGAAGGTGCGACTTGCTCCTCGTGTGCTCCGGATGGCAGTCGTGAGTCAGTCAAGTGTCAAGTTAGTTCGGCAAGAAGCGTGTGCTCCTCGTTGGATCCACCAACTTCACTTAGTGAATAATAATTATTATGTTTAATAAAATAATAGGGACGAAGTAGTGGTTGCGACTTCGGCGATAATTTGTAAGAAAGGGTTTGCTCCCCACACCGGAGCTCGCGCTAAATAATAGGGGTTGAAAAATAATATTTTTCAACTAGCTACTTTTGACTCACGTATGATAATAATTAAATTGAATAATTGTTGTGATGGCTGTGTAATCAGGAGTGATCATCTTGCAGTATTCAAGTAGTCTTGCTTTCAGAATTCTACAAGTACATGACTGTACTGAATTCCATGTCCCTCTTTTTGTTCATGTTCACTAGTTGTGAAAACACATGTCCCTCCGATCAGTATGGTGACCAATGCTCCCAGGCATGTCAGTGCTCTGCAAACTCTACGTGCAGTCCTATCGACGGTTCGTGCAACTGCAGCGCCGGCTGGAGGGGCTCGCTGTGCACTCTGGCATGTCCTCGTCATACAAACGGAACGCTCCACTGCTTGACATCCTGCTCGCACATCTGCTTGAACGGCGGAACTTGCAACGAGTCCATTGGTGAATGCATGTAAGTCGTAGGAATGAATTTTATGTCGATCTGTCCACTCACAGCAGTTACAGCTGATCGTGTGCAGTTTCGTATGGAGGAGGGCTCGGCCGGGGGGGGGGGGGGGGGGGGGGGGGGTCCCGTGAAATTTTGAAATGAGGGTGCAAAATCCTGCATACATCCTGACACTTATGCCATTGTGGGTGGCAGACTACCAAAAAATTCGCTGAAAAATCGAATTTGTAAATTCATATTGAGTGCTACGTCAGTTGAAAGAGCATGAATAGCTGCAAATTCTCTGAAAATTGTGTCCCGATCTGACCGGCCGTTCAAGAGTTATGGCCGAAAATGTGCCCTTGCAAGGAAAGATTTTTTTGTTGCACGCTGTCATTTGTTGGCAGCACTGTATTTGAATGTGAGCAGACCGTGCGCAACTTGTCGTATCATGGAAACACGTGAAAGTGTGCAGAATTTTGCTCCAAGTCCAAAAATCAGGTTTTTGAGCCACGTATTGGGCTGCACGGCGGCGGGTGAAGCCCGCCGCCGTGCAGCAGGACTTTTGCCAGCACCCTCGTGACGTTGCAGATATGTGGCTTGATTATTGTAGTTGACGTTGATTTAGTGACTTTGGCAAGTTTGAGTCGTGTCAAGAAGTCAGGTAGGATTCAGTACTAGGCAGTAGTGAAACGTCAGTGGTAGTCTTTGCCGGTTTCTGAGGGTATCCTGGATTTGGTGTGCAGCGCTGTGGAAATGGCTTGCTGTGGAGGTCCCAGCACTGGATGTTGTATCAAAGGTACGACCTCGTAGCACGTGCTAAACCTAAAAAAATTCAAAAATTGACTTGGGTCTGTGGGAGTGTGTGAGAGAACGCCCACTCGTTCCTTTGTGACAGATTCCAGGGCCTCGTTGAGGGGCCCTACCCCATCACCCATGGCTGCTTCTGGACTTGTTCTAGGTTTGGGGGCCGCGCACGGACAGAATGAGCACGAAAATGTGAAAAAATTGTAAATGCATTTGTTTGGCTCCTGGGTGGCTCGCACACCGTGGCACTATGCCGGAAATTTGAGTTTTTCCGGCCTGGAAAGCCTGTCAGTGAGGCGCAAGAACTTGTAAATCATGTCCTGAGGGCCAGCATAGTGGCAGGAGTGTGTGGTCAAAATGTCACTCAAATCCATTGAGAAACACCAAAGTTACGGTCAATTAAATGCCATATGAAATTTATGGGTAGGCTGCCCCCTTAAAAAAGATTGTTCCGGCGAAAGCCGGAGCGAGCGGCTGGACCTTTTAAAAAGCACAAGCAGTACTGCCTTCTCATCAGAGATTGGCTCTCTGATTCCTACCAAAAACGAAAGTAGTATAACATGTTTGAAGAATGGAAGTGTGAAAGGAAAGAAGATAGCAACTATGGAAGTCGTCCTTTACCAACAATACATGTACGTACAGCCTCCCCAGTTTTACTTTGATACATGTACATGCTCATACTGAAGTAATAAGAAATTTACCGGCAACTCAACTGGGTTAATATACTTATTGTACTGGATAATACTTGAACTGCATTGTCGCATGAATCTTGGATGCGATCTTGTGACACAGAGCGATATTTACATGGATGCTAAATTCAGACACTTCGCTTGAGTTCATCTATGCGCACGACAAGGTGAATATGAGGAGGCAACTCATTCCAAGGAATGGTGGGGGGCACCCCGGACGCGAATGGACGACCGTCCCAAAGGCCCGAGAAGGAAAGAGACGCGCAGAAGTCGCGTCATCTGTCCACGGGTAGCTCTCCGTTCTTGGTCGACCAGATCGGGGGCAATAGGTGTGTAGAATGACAACAACAGTTGACTGGGGAAAGCGTGAAGACAAAGGAAGACGAAGACAAGGACTTCCTGACGGCAGAGCTGCTCAATGGTAGATAACCGAAATTTCTTGCTCAGGGGCTGGGTGGTGACGGGGTTATGCAATCACAAGACTGCGCGAATGCCAGCCTTCGCTGACCTCTCAAGCCTTATATGGCCAGCAGCAGTGAGAGAGGAGTAGAAGGAGTTCGCGGCGTAGCACAATGACAATGTCATCGGCAAACTCCTGATGGGCATTGGGCAGAACTTCATTTTTTGTGCGTGTGTACAAAACGAACAGAAGCGGACCGGGGACACTTCCCTGTGGCACACCTCTGCAGCAGAACACTTCATGAGACAGCTTTCTGCTGACTCTTATTCGTTGGCGACGACCCGACGCTGATGAACGAGTCCAAGATGATACCAAACAAACCCAGTGAATGCAGTTCTGTGATGACGCGTTGATGTTGGACTTAGTCGAATACTTTCAAACTCGTGGCCTGGCACGAGGGCAGCATGGATGCAGCGAATGGGATTTTCGGCCTTTAACCAATTTGGTGGGCCTAATCTAATCACCTCCAACCGCTTTAAGAGCTGCATCTGTGCCTTGATCCTTGAAGGTGATGGCGTCCTACGGACGAGAAAAACTTGGCTTCCAGCCGAGTCTCACGCGAAACATGAATTTTTTTCTGCGATTTGTTTTATGCTAGAGTGACATGGAGAGTCTAGGACATTGAATAAAATATTGCATTTCCTGAGAATATCCCGGGTCCGAGAATAGTTACAATGTAGGTATAGGTATATCTAACCATTTCTCTCTCCCTCTCTCTGTGCATCACTGAACAGTTGTGCACCAGGATTCAATGGAACGGCATGTCAAGATGCCTGTATACCAGGAACCTATGGCACAGGCTGTATGGAGGTCTGCGAGTGTACGAACGAAGCTAATTGCTCCGATATCGACGGTTCCTGTTCCTGCCAGCCTGGTTGGCATGGCGATATTTGCAACATGACGTGCCTGATGGGTTCCTATGGTGCCGACTGTTCCCAGGCATGCCTGTGCAAGAATGATGCTGTGTGTGATCATGTGACAGGAGCATGTACATGTGTGGGAAGATGGCTGGGTGCTCAGTGTCAACATCGTGAGTTGTCCTTTTACAATACATACATGCACATGTAGATCTTGTAAATCAGTGGTGGCGAGCAGTGTGCGCTTAGTGTTGAAGAGGCATACAGAGTATTATAGGGCTTGAAAGTGATGACGTCAAAAACGGCCAGGGAGTAGTAGACATCAGATTTCTATTTTGGATCCACTAAGGTGTGACTTTGCTATTGCCTCAGTATGTGGGTGCATAGCAACCCATTCATGTCGTATGCAGGGGTGACTTTAACTTCGCCACCAGTTGTAACCCTGCCCCCAGTAGCCAAATCAGTCAGTTTCACTGGCTACACCACCTTGCCGTGAGTAAAACGGCTTGAAATGTGCTTGGATCCATACAAAAACTGGATCCAGTTTTTTGAATTTTTGAAATTGTTGCTATGCTATGACGTAGCACTTTCAAGCCCTATTGGCCAGCCGTGCACAGTAAAACCTGGTGTAAGCGACCTCTGGGTTTAGCGACCACCTGCTCGACACTGTGGGACCTGGTTCTAAAGCCACATGGCTTTAACGACCGCTTTTGCTTGCACCGTGGGGTGGTCGCTTAAACCATGTTTTACTGTAGTAGTAGTAGTAGTAGTAGTAGTAAAACTACGACTCATAATTATTATAAAGTCCTGCACTATGATAACAATTGTAAGCATACCGTGCTCGCTTTGAGCTTTTCTTTAAAAGAAGTAGCAGGCCATTTTGATTTCAAGGAGCGGTTCGGGTGGGGGCAAAATCACTAGCATGTGCACCAATGCCGACATGATCTCCGGCCTTCTACCAGCAAACACAGCATGACTGTGTTCATCGACACTACCAATATTCTCTTAGGAATGTGAAAATCGCAAGAGATCAAGAACACAAAACTGATAGACAACTTGAGGAACGAGTACTCAAACACAAATCCCGATCCCAGACCGAGCTACATTCGTAGAGACAATCAGAACATAGGAAGCTCAAAGTGACTTCCAGTTAACACCGATACTCAAGTACCAGCTAGAGCAGTGATTGCCGCGAGGAAGCCGAAATTGACGAAACACAAACCGATGGGACAACGCAGCCAGTGAAGCCACACGCAAAATGATTTCTAGGGGAAATGTCAGGGGTGCAGCCTAAGGTGGCTCAAAAGTGTTTCCTGTCATTTGAACACACAGTATGACGGCTTGAGTGTCAGCCCACACAATAGCCAATGCATGTATGTAGCTAACACAGTTGATTTGTGCAGCTTAGTCCTGGATCCATGAGTTTTGAATAGTGGTGTGCACGGGTAGTCGGGTACCCATGCTACCCGTGAGGACCTCGGGTAGACGGGTACAGAATATTACCCGAAAACCCGAAGTCACAGATGACATCATGTACAGTGCACGTGTACAAATTCATGAAATAGTCCACATGTCTACCCAGTGTGTGCGGGAAGGGGTGCATTGCGGTGGTGCCATGGAAAGATTACCCGATGGGGTACCCGTGGAAAACTACCCGAACCTGATACCCGAAGAAAATGCTACCCCACTCAGCCCTAGTTTTAAAAGTACAAAAATACTTCCGTTATGTGCATGTAGATGAATGATCGTATCATGCACTGCTTCCAGTGCTCAAAGCTATTACATTGAAGTACACGATTGTATATGTTCTTCTTTGTAGTAACTGCGGACAAGGACTCTGAGGTCTCGCTAGTTCCGATTCTCGCTTCAGCATTCAGTGCAATCATCATTTTCATTCTGGCAGTGGTTACAGTATTGCTATGGCGACGGAAGAAAGCTTCACGTGCAAGCACCAACCCAGACGATGAGAATATCTATGGCAATGTTGTGGTAGTACAGGCAAGACCAGTTCGTCGCCCATACGAAAATGCAGGGTTGCAGATGAAAGAAACATGGTACTCGCTAGAGCCCCATGTTCCTGTCCAGCAAGAAGACATGTCCTCGCTAGAGCCCCGTATTCCTGCCCGGCGAGAAAGCATGTACTCCCTAGAGCCCGGCATTCCTGCCCAGCGAGAAAGGATGCACTCCCTAGAGCCCGGCATCCCTGCCCGGCCAGCTTTAAATCCAACGATCAATGAGCTGCAGGAGACCAGCTTGGACCGTTATGGAGCGGTTGAAAGTGCATCGGCAAACATCTCCCACACCGGTGCATCGGATGCTGGCAAGGATGAGTACATGTACATAGTCAGTCGGCATGCTTCAGTTAAAGGGGAAGTATACCCTAAAATCAAATTTTCACCAGTTGTAGTCTTCTGGGTGCTGAGTCGAATGGTCTTGGTCCGAGGAAGCTGCGGCGCTCCCTTCCTACTTGAATCCCAATCGAACTCGCGCACTTCCACCGAAACTGGGTGACTGCGCCCTACTAGATGGGGATTTGTATGCAAAATGTCACTAAAAGCGCCATTTCGTTCTTATAAAAGCACGGATGACCGCGATTGGCCCATATGTTGTAGTCTTTTGGACGCTGAGTCGACTGGTTTTGGTCCGAAAAGGCTGCGATGCAGCGTTCCTCCTTTATTCCCAATCGAACATGGTTGAAGAAGCGGTCACGTGCTCCTGCGTACACCAGTCAGCTGGTCACCGTGCCTGCAGGGTACAACTTACTAGCCTGTTTGACCTTTTTTGGGTGCAGTCCTGTCACTCGAGTTGAACTCGAGTTGAACCTTGGTGTGAAAGTTGTCGCCTGCTGGCGCGGTGACCAGGTGATTTGGGCACCCAGGAGCACGTGACCGCTTGTTCAACCATGTTCGATTGGGAATAAAGGAGGAACGCTGCATCGCAGCCTTTTCGGACCAAAACCAGTCGACTCAGCGTCCAAAAGACTACAACATATGGGCCAATCGCGGTCATCCGTGCTTTTATAAGAACGAAATGGCGCTTTTAGTGACATTTTGCATACAAATCCCCATCTAGTAGGGCGCAGTCACCCAGTTTCGGTGGAAGTGCGCGAGTTCGATTGGGATTCAAGTAGGAAGGGAGCGTCGCAGCTTCCTCGGACCAAGACCATTCGACTCAGCACCCAGAAGACTACAACTGGTGAAAATTTGATTTTAGGGTATACTTCCCCTTTCAGGTCTACAGTAGATAGCAAATACGCACCCCTTTTAGCTTCCCTGTCTGCTGTAGCACTGCAAGTAATAGTCAGTAACATGGCCTTGCATGGATCAAAGCCATACACCAGTATCAGCTCATTTTCTATTCACTGTATTTATTTTGAATTTGAGTACATCAAATTTTTGTAATGCCATTGTATAGCTCTTGTAAGTCACAAGTCCATTAGAGGCAATAACCATCAGTCCCTCATCCTCTACATTGCTATACACAGACGTTGATGATGAGCGACTTCATTATATTACGGAACGGTTCCGTGCAGCGGTCATGCACTTGAGATTTTACGATAAACTCTGCATATTGAGCAGTTACTGTTATTCATAAGACCTTTAGTCGGCCACGATCGTGATGCTCTTTCAGATACATCACAGCTCAGTGTCCGTGCTTTGGCTACGGTATGGTATCCCATGATGAGTATTTTCGCATTTCCAAGGCCAGAGCAAGTCACTGCCCAAACGCTGTTTGCCCCGGTGAATTTGCCACCATTGCATGCATGTTGTGCATAAATGTATGTGCTTCCATACTAATTATGTATTGAACATGCATTTCAAGGTCTTTGAAAATTTTTGTAAACATTACAAAGTCATGTCATGTCAACAAGAAAGTAATTTTATCAGACTTGCCCAGACTGTTTGCAGTTGGGGATGTTATTCAAATTATTCAGAAATCGCACTCTATTTCAGGTAAATGACTCCACCTGAATTTCAATTCCATCAACAAAATTCAGATGGAGAGCCAAGGATGGAATTTAAGAAGAGAGCACCTATAGTTTTCATGCAATCCATTGTTTGTACAACACGTTCGTGTCAACTATAGCCTTTATAAGTAATAATTATACTGGTGAATCAGAACGTGCAGTATTTAGCAAAACGCTGACTGATGTGATACTGACATTCAACGACCTCAAGCTGGCTGCATCACATCTAGACGCAAACCAACAGCCTTCCAACTTGCAAGGTTTGCACATGACAGCATTGAGTTCAAGCTACGTATCCAGTGTCAATGAAGTGCTGGCCAGCTCTGCACTAAAACACAAATATATAATCTCGAGCTGGCAGTTGCGTGAAGTCAACACAAACTTTTAGTAATCTCAAGGCCAAAATAAAGTGATGTGATGAAAGATCAAAGACTGCAGCTGGTGCAAATGCAACCTGCTATGTGCAGGACATTGTCTCTATGTTGCATGTTAAAATTCTCAAATCACATGCGTTATCAATATGTGCTCAAAATGCACATGCAATGGAAATGTCTGTTAGTCACATCAGTTGAATGTGAACTGGCAGCTAGTGCAAATTCAATCTGCTATGTGCATAACATTGACTCTGCATTGCATGTCAAAATTCTCAAATCATATGCATGGTCAAGTTGCACTCAGGATGCACGTGCAATGGAAATGTCTGTTGGTCACATCCGTTCAATCTGATGCGACAACAAACAAATTTGCACCGTGCAAGGAGCGCACAAAAAGCTTGCAATACACCTGTTCTTGGTGATCATCACTGAAAAAGTATGGTAGCACAGAGATCCAAGTCCCCAGGCCATGATCGGTGCGGCGGTCCTCCGCTGAGTCTGCCTCAGCCTTGCCACCAACAGACTGTTCTAATCATGTGGCACCGTTACCGGCACTCTTTTCAGCCGACTAAGGACAGGTCCGACAATTACCTTTGGCTGACCAGAACTGTCCACTGCATTGCCACATGCTGCGCTCAGCAAGTCGTAAAAAAGATCCCGTCGAGGCTCGCGGACTGAATCAAACAGGTACAGTTTCTCGAGGTTGTTGGACTGGTACAGGACAGTCTGGACGAAGGCCACCATCGCTTTGCCGAGTTGCTCCGTCTCGCCAGGCTGCATGTCGTGGAAGCTGTCTTGGACATTGATGCGGGGATTCTTGTGAAGGTAAAGAGAAATCAGGCCGGAACACTGTTGAACCACCTGATGGAGAGGATCGAGTGACATGCGCGACAGCTTGTTTCCTGCTAGCGAAAGGCAGGCCAGTCTCTCACAGCAGCAGCACCCTTGTGCAAGGGTAGCCAGTTGGTCGTCTCCAAGATCGCAGTAGTCGAGGTGCAATGCTTTAAGAAGCGGCACTTGCTGCGCCAGGAGAAGTGCAGAGAGAATGTCTGCAGCATCCGTTGAGAACTGAATACCCGTGAAACGCAGCACAGTAAGCTGTGAGCATAGTGCTAGACTTTCAAACAGCGGCTCTGTGTCGAGATGGCTCAGTCCTGAAACATCTAGTTCTTGCAGTGTTGCGCGATTCTGACCGACCAGCTCGGATAACGTAACAATGTGCGATTGCTTGTTAAGGTATGGAAAGTAGAACAGTTGAAGACTAGTTGATTTGCTGATCACCTGAAAAAACCGGTCAACCGAAGCCTCGCTGATATCTTGAGCTTGCAAGAACTGGGACTGGAACAGCCGGATGTCCTTGATATCAGGCAGAATGTTAGCCAAGAACTTTGTGATTCTCTGAAAGCTTGCTGCCGACACTGGCATGCATTTGATCCCAAAATCGGCTTTGGAAAGTGCTCGTTGTCCCAACAGCTCCAGCTCGGCACTTGAAAACATGGTGTCACACAATATGGTGATTTGAAGCTCGTGCATAGACAGGAGTAGTCCGAGTTTACTAGACAGTTCCGATGTCATCGGTGTTCCCATGAAGTTCTGGACAATGAAGGACGCTTCATCGGGAACGTGCGGGTCAGCATTGGGCAAAAGGGTGCGCAGGATGCGCTCATTGTGGGTTAGATCGGGCTGGACGTGGCACACAGCTCTGTACAGCATGGCGCCATTGGAGAGTGGTGCGTTGTCCTTCCAGTACGTCAGCAGGGTTTCTACGAACAGTTCGTCAGTCGGCTCACGGCCCAGTTGCGGGAGGAGATCACCTACGACATCACTGCCTTTCCGATCACTGCACACATCTGTCAACAGGTCATCCGCAAGGCTCTGCAGCTCGTGTCGCTGGAGAGATGTACGCAACACATCGCAGATTTCAGGGAACTGGCTGTGATTCCAAGCATACAGTGTGTCGGGACGATTGCAGTCCAAGACCTTGTCAACAGATGACCTGCGGTCAGTGAGGGACATGTCGTGGTACAACTCACTCATGACATCTCGCATGAAGTTGGTGATATGCTTCATGACATAGTTTAGTCCTATGGATCCATCTGGGCTGGTGACCAAAGGAAATAGGAACTGCCAGAATGTCCACGTTCGCCGGTCCTTGACTCCGATGAAGTTGATTAACCCCCTTACATCAGTAGCGGACTTCACCAGGTTTGTAGCAGCATGGTGTGCTGCGAGGTGTTCCTGGAGCATAAGATGGCTGAACCGGTACTGTCGGTACCTTCCGGACAACAACGACTTCTTGCATGCTACCAGAACTCCCAGCCTGAGGCATTTATCTGATAGCTTTGTTTCATGAATATCTAACTCGTCGAAGATGAATTTCTGGCCAACGAAATGCCTGAATGCGAAAGTGGACAGTTCTGTGAGTACCTCCCTTTCAGAGTCGGGAAGTTCGGAGTACTTGTTGCAGCGGACTCTATTTTGCTTGCACAGCAATCGTAGAACCATCTTTTCAAAAAGCGTTGTAGCACACTTGCTGATCGAGCCATCGTCTTGGTATTGGGTGCAGGACAGTGCAGCAATGAATGGAGTGGCAAGAAGGCTCTTGACATCACCATGGCCATCTATCTCTCTTACCATCTGCTCGCCTTCCTCCCCCGGTAATACTTGGCGGATGTACGTGTCAATATCAGTAGAAGAGAACCCGGTCACTTCCACGTAACGATCAAAACGGCCTTGCCGCGATAGCTCATGGACATTCTGGCATGGGCGAGAGGTGACGATTGTGCGCAGCCCTCGTAGAGTTGTTTGACCGCGTAGGAGTCGTTTCATGTACATACTGCACTTGGCCATGTTGCACTCATCTACACCATCCAGAACAATACACACACGATGTGCGTTATTCCGTACATAGTCCAGCACAGCACGTCTATCCTCATCTTCATTTAGATCCAATGCAGCGCAAAGTAGCTCCTCTGTGTTGCGGAACTTCAACACTTCTTCGTCACGTAATTCGAAACACAACAGCAGATCAACATCTAGACTTCCAGCAGACGACCTTGTGACCAATCGTACGGTAATTTGCTGCAGAAAGCTGTTGTCTTTCCAATTCCAGCACTTCCAATCGCTATCACTGCTCGACTATTCAGCTCAAACACCTTGTCGAGTCCAAGCTTCTCCGCTTTACTAGACTGGAAGATATGTTCTTGTCGCATCTGCTCGCCATATGATCCGAACGAAGTCCCTCGAAACATCTCCAGTAAATCCTCTTGTCGCAACATGGCCACATTGATGAAGACATCATCAACTGGAGTTCCGCCGCCAGATTCATCAGCTGAAATCCCTTCTGCGTTCCTCTCCAACAAGCCATATCCAACCACGATGGTATTCTGGCGGTAATTCGCTTGCAGGCGACTCTTCGCATCTTGCACAGCCCTTGGCAGTGGGCGCGAAATGGCCTCACCAGATTCTGAATCGCTCTGACGGGCACTATCCCGATGTTCGCCGCTAGCACCACTCAGCATGTTCATCAAAACTAGTACCAAACTCACCGAACACGCCAGCATCATGAGCAGCTCGAAGCTGCCGTCCGAAGCCAGCAATCGCGCTGTGGCCACAGTCATGGCGATCCGTCGGCGGGTTGAGCTAAGACTGTACGCAGATCTACCATTGGACTAGTCACCGTCGTTTCGCACCCATTCCTCTACGCTACTGCCTGGCCAGAGGTGAGGAACTAACTAAAATTTTAAGACTGTGAAAACAGCTTAGTTGCAACGGATTCTCTCATTTATCATGTTTACGCTCCTCATGCATGAAAGCGACATGCATAATATTATGGTTTTGCATGTTGCTAGTCATTATCCTGATATCTGGCACGCTCCACTTAAGTCTTAATTTTTCCCCACTTGCACCCAGCGTTCACACGCACTTCATGTAGTACATAATTGTACACTGTACAGTCATTGCCTTCCACCCATACTTGCTAAAGCGCTAGCTATTATAACAATTATCTAGCTGGCCGCTCGACTTCGCGATCCGATCGACAACCTGTCAGATCAATAATAAAGATGTCGCACTCCTGCTTT